CCATTGTCTGTGTCCATGTGTTATGCATATAAATTCTTATGTTACTCCTTCCCCTTCCCTCTGAGATTTGTCAGTCTGTTCCATGCTTCTGTGTCTCCGGATCTGTTTTGTTCATTAGATTCCATATATGAGTAAGATCATGCGACACTTGTCTTTTTCTGACTGGCTTATTTCACTTAGCATAATACTCTCCAGGTCCCACCATGCTGTCTCAAAGGGTAAGGGATCCTTGGTTTTTACAGCTGCATAGTATTCCATTGTGTAAATGTCTGAGAAGATGCTTGATATGATTTCAGTCTTCTTGAACTTGTAGAGACTTGTTTTGTGTCCTAACATGTGGTCTACCTTTGAGAATGGCCCATGTGCACTTGAGGAGAATGCCTATTCTGCAGCTTTAGAGTGGAATGTTCTGTAAATGTCAATTAAATCCATCTGATCTAGTGTGTCATTTAGAGTCACTGTTCCTTGTTTATTTTTTTTTGTCTGGAAGATCTATCCAGTAAAATCAGTGGGGTGTTAAAGTCCCCTACTATGACTGTATTGCTGTCGATCTCTCCTTTAAAGTCCTCCAGAAGTTTGTTGTTGTTGTTTTCCCAGCCTGTTGTGAGTCTTTTGTTCTGAGGTGGGTCTCTTTTAGACAGCATATATTTGGGTCTTGTTTTCTTATCTATTCAGCTTCTCTGTGTCTTTTGATTGGGACATTTAACCCATTTAAATTTAAGGTTATTATTGATAGGTACTTATCTATTGCCATTTTATTTCTATATGCCTATATTTCTCATTCTATTTCAACTTGTTATTACAGCAGTCCCTTTGACATTTCTTGCAATGCTGGTTTAGTGGTGATAAATTCCTTTAGTCTTTCTTTGTCTGGAAAGCTCTTTATTTCGCCATCTATTTTGAATGATAGCCTTGCTGGATAGAGTAGTCTTGGTTTCAGATCCTTGTTTTGCACTACCTTGAATACTTCATGCCATTCCATTCTGGCCTGTAGAGTTTCTGATGAGAAATCAACTGATAGCCTTATGGGAGCTCCTGTGTAAGTAACAGCTTGCTTTTCTCTTGCTGCCTTTAAGATTCTCTTTGTCATGGATTTTTTGCATTATAATTATGATGTGTCTGGGTGTGGGCCCTTTGGGTTCTTCTTGCTTGAGACTCGCTGTGCCTCCAAATCTTTTGCTTTTTTTGATCATCAAATGAATTTATTGTGATGACTCATAGTTCTTTTTGTGCAGTATTTTTTTCATGCCTACAAATAACTACTCTCAGGTGTAGGCAAATCAATGGTCTATGTGTTCTCTACCTGTTTTTGTAAATAAAGTTTTATTGGAGCACAGCACTGCCTATTCACTTGTATATTGTCTCTGGCCAATTTTGACTACAGTGGCAGAGTTGAGCAGTTACGACAGATACTGAATGGCCCTCGACATCTAAGTGTTAACTTTCTGGCCAAACCCTGCTCTGTTGATTGTTGCTGTTCTTCCAGATTCTGTTATAAATAACAGTACAGTGAGCATCTTTGTGCACATACCGTATTTTAGGGTACATCTTTGGCCTCTAGTATCTAAAGTAGGTTGTTCAGTTGATGAGCCTTATTCTTTTTTTCTTTTTTATTTATTGATTTGAAAGCGAGAAACCTCAATTTGTGGTTCCACTTATTCATGCAGTCATTGGTTGCTTCTTGTATGTGCCCTGACTGGGGATTGAACCCTCAACCTTGGCATATCTGGAGGGTGCTCCAACCAGCTGAGCTACCTGGCCAGGGCGAGCCTTATTCTTTTACTAGTGAAGGAATTGGAGTGATGGCAAAGTCTGGCCACGCCTGCAAAACAGTTTCATGAGGGAAGGAGGCTTTTTAGACTTGAAACCACGAAGTGCTCATAGACCAGAAAAGGTTGCTCCTAAGTGGAGGCACAGCACTAGAACTTGGTGCCAATTTCTGAATGTTCCTGTGGCTGGTCTTCTCCCTTCCTGGGGCTGATGGTTCAGTCTGCTGGTCCCAGTCCTGGATGGAGGAGGCCCACCTACTGGTGTCATTTGACTCAGTTGTCCAAAAAGAGAAGGAAATGTATGCATGAGGCTTGTTAGTAGGTGCAGAGTCATTCAACTAAATTCAAATATGTTCTTTTTCTTCCCTTTAACAATTTTAGAGTGAAGTTTTGAGGCTGTTTTTGTATAGATTCTATCCCTAAATTACCTACTTTAAGCTTTCTGTTAGGCATAGAAGACTTGTGATTCTTGGAATGTTCTTAGAATAGCAACCATTGCTGATGCTAAGCTGAGACAATTACTGCTTTAATGTGGCCCTTCCCTCTTGGGCTCTGCAGGGTGTCTGGCTGAAGAAAGCAACAGGAGGTATGGTTGTCAATTAAAAGTAGGAGGGAAAGAATTCCCAATGACCTGCCCTTGCCTTTCATCTGGTGGGTTAGTTCATTACCTTTTCATTGGGCTAGCCTTCTTGTTTTAATTTTTCTACGAAGTAGGTGTTTCTTTTGAGGTCACCTGAATCCCTTGGTTAATAATAATAATTAATAATTGACTGTTCTGATCACTTAATGCTTTCCACTGTTGGTACTATATATCCCAAATTGTGTGTGTGTGTGTGTGTGTGTGTGTGTGTGTGTGTGTGTATGTGTGTTTGTGTGTTGAAGGGAGAGAGAGAGAGAATACGAGCTCTGGCTTTATGTGTGTTATTTTGTGTGTTTCACCAAAACTCGGTGGGACTCTGATGGGGTCTTGATGTATGGCTGAGTAGCTGGGACATATATGACCATGAATATCTTGAACTGTGGGGTATGGGGGTAAAGGCCTCTGGTCTGTGAGTGTCTTTTTTGCAGTGTTTGTCAATGTTGTCACTACCTTTTTGATGCTCACAAGTCTGACTTAACTATGCTTCATGTGACAGAGACCCAGCAGCAGAAAGAGACAAGGGGATTGACTGAGTGGCTCTCATGACTGGACAGGACAGGGAGGGGCTGGCTCATCTGTCTTCTGACATCCTGTGGCATTGGGGGGTGACATTTCTGTGCTTATTCTCTCCAGTTTCAGACACTTCCCAGAGGTAAGACACCCACCCCCATTCCAGGTAGGACTGTTCTGGGGAGGACCCAGATTGGCCAAGCCCATCCTAGACTCCTCCCTGTGGCCAGGGTCATGGGTCATGACCCCCATGACGGAGAGGGGCCTTATCAAGGCAAACGCCCAGAACCACATCATCATCCTTGACATCCTCTTACTCCGTTTCAGGGACAGATCTTCACAGAACCTATCGTCAGCTTTCCCTTTTCCCTTCTTCTGTCTGTCTGTCTCTATTTGCTTCTGCCATACAATTCTTGTTCCTACCTTACTCTCAGTCATCAGGCCAGCATCCTGTGCTGCTTGTTCATCAGGTAGATAATCGCTGAAAGCCTCATCTAGGTGTAGAACACCATCCTTATGCTAGAAATCCAAAGACGCCCCCACTTAAGGGGCTGACAGTCTAATTTGGTAAATACAACAGATTACATAAAAAGTTGGCCCATCAGAAAGCAAACACAAATGCTGCAAGAATTCAAAAGGCATCCTAGTTTTAGAACGCGGATCAGGAGTCACAAAATCCAGATTCTAGTCCCTATCTGGTAAGTCAGCTCACCTCTTGGTTTGTTACTCCAGCTGCAAAATGGAGCCGCAAGATTGAGAGGCATCGTTTCTGTCACAGCTCTGATCAGGAGCCGAGGGGAGTTTTATGGGGGATGCAGCACCTGACCTGGACTGGACCCTGGAGTAAGGCATTTCAGACCCAGCTTTGCCTTTTTACATTTTACCTAATATTGCATATATTTTTTTTATAAAAGAAGAATGAACAAGCTTTAATTCTTTTAGGTTTTTTTATTTTTTAATTTTTTATTTTGAAACAGTTTCAGACTTGGGAAATTTTTCAAAAAAAGTACAAAGAATTTCATACACCCTTCACCCTGGTTCCCCAATGTTCACATAACTGCAGAATGGCCTGCAGCTGAGATTCAATGTGGAAGCAATACCTTTACTGACCTGAAGCCTTACTCAGATTGAGCTGGTACTCCCACAGACACACTTTCTGGATCAGGATCCCACATTGCGTTTAGTTGTCATGACTGCTAAATCCTGGGACAGGTCCTCTGTCCCTTTTCCCCCACTCTTTCTTCTTCTTTTTTTAAAAAATATCTTTATTGATTTCAGAGAGAGGAAGGGAGAGGGAAAGGGAGAGAGAGATAGAAACATCAGTGATGAGAGAGTCATTGATCAGCTGCATCCCGCAACCCGGGCACGTGCCCTGACCGGGAATCAAACCCCAGTCTCCTGGATCCTAGGTCGATGCTTAACCGCTGAGCCATGCCCGGCTGGGCAGCCCCCCACTCTTTCTTGACCCTGACTTTTTAAAGACTCCTAGACTGTTAGTTTGTGGAACAGCCCTCAGTGTGGGGTTACTTAGTTTCCTCTTGATTCAACTTTCATTTTGCATTTTTGTCATGAGTGCCATAGGAGTGCTGTGCTGCCCTTGGAGCATCCTCTCCGGTGTGCAGGGTGTGATCTGCCTCAGTCCTGGTGGTTGTGAACATGATGATCATGGCATTCTGGTCTCATCTCTTAGGTTCTCCACCGACAAGTTATTTTATACTTTGATACTATGTAAACACCCTGTTTCTCATTGTTCTTTCTCCCACTAATGTTAGCCACCATTGCAGTTTCTTCCCTGAAACAACCATTACTGTGATGTTTGCACAGGGATGATCTTCTGGCTCCATTATTTCTACATTTACTAGTTGGAAACCAGTGCAAGGAAGAGTCCTCCCTTCTCCATTTATGTATTTATTCAGTTATTTATATTTGTATGGACTTGGCTATTTAGGCTATTCTGTGGGTCATAATCCATTCTTATCATTGTTTATTTTTTCCTTTTATTTTTCATTTACAATTTACATTCATTATCGTTGATTCTTATGCTCAAATTGTTGTAGATTTGGCCATTCAGGTTGGCTTCTGGGTGCTTTCAGCATGTTTCTATTATACTTTGAGCATGTCCTCACTTTCTGGAACCACAGGATATTCCAGATTTACCTGGTACTTTCCTTGCCCCAGACGTGGCAGCATCCATTTTGTCAAGGAGCCCTGGTTCCCTTTGGTAACTGGGATTTAGAAGCTGAAGGGTGTTTGTTGATGCCGGGCTGCCATTACCTCTAGGCCCTCACAGTACTTCCTGCTGGCTTGGTTCTGACGAGAGTATCAACAGTAGGTTCCCATGGCAGTACCTGAAACAGCAAAGATGGTGACTGTGTTCTCTGGAACATAAATTCTGATCTGAAAATCTAAGATGTATTCAGCTTTTGCATGGAGATGTTGAAGGAAGGGACAGCCCACAAATATATTCCGAGCATAGCCTGTGTGATTCTCTTGTTAAATGTTCAAGTTGGCTATCCTGTTCAAATATAGGATGTATTTTATGTTATGAAAGCAATGAGGGTGGTTAGTGTAGTGTTGGATTTAAAGTGCCAGGTACCTAGCCCCCTGTTGCCCACCATCGTGTTCTGTCTTCTGATGATTGTTTCACGGAGCTCATTCCAGGGTCTCTGAAGGACTCCAGAGGTTAAGCCACATGCCTGGGTGATAGGCTTTATGTTCCCCTTGCCTTTTTGATATCTGCTGCTGTGAGAGGTCTGTTCCCGAGTTTCCACTCCTGCTCTAGCCATTACTGTGATGAAAATCTGAGTTCTAGGGAACAAGGTTGGAGTTGATGCACAAATAAGAGCCGTGAGGGACACTTACTCGACCATAGCGGTCCCCTTTCTCTGGAAGTGTCTGCGTCGTACAGAAGGCTGCCTTGTTTTAACCTCCGTGCTTTCACCGTGGGCTTATCTTGCAGCATGGGAAAGACTTTGAAGCAATCCAGAACAACATAGCTCTCAAGTATAAGAAGAAGGGCAAGCCCGCCAGCATGGTGAAGAACAAGGAGCAGGTGCGCCACTTCTACTACCGCACGTGGCACAAGATCACCAAGTACATCGACTTCGACAATGGTGAGCGTGCGAGGCTCAGCCTCCAGGAGGCCGGGAGGCGGGGTTGGGCTCCGGTCAGGAGCTAAGTTTTTGAAAAATCACAGGACATGCTCTCTGGCATCATGCTTGCCCAGCCATGTGGCCAGGGATGATGTTCTTCTTTTTAAAAAATATTTACAGAACATTTTAATATATTTTCATATGTATATTTAAAGTTAAGAAAAATAAAACTAATTCAAGCAATGCCCTATGCAAAAAAAAAAAAGAAAGGAAAATTTAAAGTGAGACCTCTGTCTACTGCTCTAGTCTCAACTTAAGTATCACAGCTTGTTCCTTTTATTTTAGAAGAGAAAATGTAAAAGTTTCTTTCAGTCATTCAGAAGGCAAGTGTAGCCACTTATAAAAACAGAATGGCAGGACAGCCTAGGAAATAAAGTCAGAGGCGAAAGGATAAGCCAGAAAGAAATTTTCAAAAATAAAATTAAGAAGGCGGCTGTTCCAGAAGGGGGCTTGTGAAAAGGACATGGTGGACCAGAGTCTGTTAGTGAAGTAATGATTAAACTTTTAAATTATTCTCTTGTTCTTTTTTTTTTTAATCCTCACCCGAGGATATTTTTCCCATTGCTTTCAGAGAGAGTGGAGGGGAGGGAGAGAGACATCGATGCGAAAGAGACACAGCGATTGGCTGCCTTCCGCACGAGCCCAGACCAGGGCCGGGGATCGAGCCTGCATCCAAGGCACGTGCCCTTGGCCAGAATCGAACCCGGGACCTTTCAGTCTGTGGGCCAATGCTCTAACTACTGAGCCAGACCGGCCAGGGCTCTCTTCTTCTTTCGTTGGCTGTTTTGTTTGTTCAAGCCGAAAATTTAGAAATGTTGACCTATTGTTACCAAGAGCCAACAGGAAATTATAGGATCCCTTCCCTCCCATGGCCTGCCTCCGCTGAAGCCGCCACCATCACCTCCTTGGTGATGAAAAGTCCGCCATGTATGTGGACTCAGGGTGACAGGGCAGCCTCCTTCTGTGGTTGCTGAGCTTGTGAACACTGCAGTATTTTAGCTTTCCACATCTCTAGAATGTTTTTCAACTATTTTGCGTACATGTCTCAGTGCACTCCCCTCTTTGCTTTTACAGTTTTCCGCTTGATGTGAGGGTGTAATAACAACTTCCATTACTATGATGTTTTTTCTTATCATTTACATTCTTTAATGGTCTTGGCAATGGTCTGGAAGAGCTGCTGGCCCTCTAGGGAGACACCAGCACTGACTGCACAGGCCTGGCTCAGCTTCTCCTCTCTGTCCATGCTTTGCTGGCTGTCGCAAGCTTACTGCCATTGAGTGAGGAAAGGGGAGGAGGAGGGGTTTCTGTTCAGTCGTTAATTATTTCCACTTCTGAAACATACTGTAAGTTTATGAGCAAGATATCTTCATGGTTGGGCTTTCCACTGGAAGAGGGACATTTTAAAGCCAGCATTTTGGACTCTGAGTCAAAGGCTACCACCTCACCCTGCAGCCGCTGCTCCTGGCATGTCTGGGACAATACCTGGCCCCCAGCGCCAAAGTACTCGCCAGAGGAGCTCCCATCTTGAGAGGGCAGCCTGGCCAATGGCAGTGGCCATGGTAGTGGTGGCAGCAGTGTGCCAAAGCCAGGTGCCCATTGAGCACCATGATGTGACACACAGGTGGCCTGGGATGTTCTTGCCTTGTAAAACTGGTTATAGATATGTCTGGTAACCATTAGTCAGGCTGAATTGCAAGGAAGCTATGCCTGTTTCTGATGCTCTGAGTGCCTATGGTGTGTAGGTCCCGGCTGCCTATGGGCCTGTGTCTCCCACTGGGAGGCAGGGGCACCACAGTCAATGAGGAGACGCCAGAATTGGATCCCTCCAGTTCTTCTCTCTCCAGTGCGGGCTCTTTGGGGTTAGAGTTGGGCAAAGCTTATGGCATATCACCTGAGGATGGAGGGCTAGCTTTCCCAAGGTTCTTGCCATTTCTGTATTTGAATCCAGGTTGGCATAGTCCCATCTTTAATTCACATGTCTAGGTTATTGCCAGGTGCAGTCTGACTGCTGGCTCGGAGCACTCCTTCTGATTCACATTTCTGTTCTTAGGGGAGGCATTGCCCCCTCCTTTCTCCACGTGTCAGGAGAACTGGGTCTCCATGTCATTCCTCCCTCTCAGTCTTCAGTTTCACCTTCTTTATTTTTTATTTATTTATTTACTTAAATATATCTTTATTGATTTCAGGGAGAGGGAGAGAGAGATAGAAACATCAATGATGAGAGAGTCATTGATCAACTGCCTCCTTCATGCCCTGTACTGGGGATTGGGCTCGAAATCCGGGCATGTGCGGTGACTGGGAATCGAACAGCTATCTCCTAGATCATAGGTCGATGCTCAACCGCTGAGCCATGCCAGCCGGGCAGTTTCACCTTCTTTAATCTTACTCTTCATTTCTACAGTTTACGTCATAGGTCAGTCATTCCAGACATTTGCTTCTACTGATTTCACTTATTTCTGACGCTTCAAATAATATCACTTCTGATCCAGAATAACCGATAGCTTCGGTCAGGCCACGCCCCCTTTGAACCTGTGCTGCGTTCTCTGTGGCAGCCCTCTCTCCCTCTCGTTTTTTTTCTCTTTGCCCCGCCCTCTGCTGTTCTGGCCTGGTCATTGTGTGTTGGTCAACTTGAATCAGCATCACCAGGACTGACCCATCAGGATGCCAGGACCAGGACTTCCTCCTCCAGCTTCAGAAAGGCCAAGAGAGCTTCAATCAAGCTGTCTCTTTTTTGTAAAGTCAGATGATAAATATTTTGGGCTTTGGGCTTTTACAGTCTTTATCAAGCTGACCTCACTGTCCTGTCCAAGCTCATTATAGATACAGTGTAAACGAATGCCTGTTACAGTGTTTCAGCAAAACTTTATTTACAGAAAGAGGCCCTGGGCGGGATGTGGCTGCGAACCATTGTTTGCTGACCCTGCCCTGGAGAATTGTAATGGGGGGGTGGTATCCAAGCTCCAGGCAGTCATAGTAGTTAGCTGATACTGCCCCTGAATATATTTCCCTTCGAATCTTCATGGACATCTCTCACTCGACAGTCATGGTCTTGCTAGGTCTACCTCAGAGCTTTTCAGACCTATCCTTACTACCCTGTCCCCCTAGGTCCTTTTCTAGATCATTACTATTCTCCCTCGCTCTGGTCTTGCCCTTACCAACCCATCCTCCACATAGTGTTATCCACATAAGACCTATGTCCTGCCCCGCACCCTCATCCTGAACTGCCTTGGCTCCCAGGATGGGGTTGCCACCCTCCTCCTAACCTGCACTTCCTTTTGTGCCTTGACTCCTGCCAGCCCTAACCTGTTGGCCTCCCTAATCCCGTTCGCCTTCCAAGACTGAGCTCCTGTGTCAGTGCTCCCAAGAATCCTTCTGTGAACTCTTTTCTGCTCTCATTGCCACCTCATCGTGGGCCTGTTCTGGGCCCATCGTTGGGCACATCACGTACTCTTCCCTGGAGGTGCCATTGCCCTCAGTGCAGATGAGAAAACCTAGCTAAACATTGGAGGCCCTGGCCCAAGCCACCCAGACAGTACGCTGAGGAGCTAAGCACCAAGTCGGCCAGCATCTTCTCGCCTTTATCTTCTGTAAATGTAATATTTTCAGACCACCTCTTCATGTTGCTGTAGAATTTCCCCATGTTTTTCAATAAATGTTAATTCTTTGAGTTGACATTTATAAATGAATAAATTCTACTTTTCCTTTTGGACTTGCAGGCCACTTCTAGTGTTTTTATTTTTTTAAACTAGTTCCTCCCTTTTTAAAAAATGTATTTATTAACTTGAGAGAGTGAGGAAATGTGTGCTGCTGTGCTCGGCCAGCGCCATGACTCTCTCAGATCGCTAGCGTGTTTGAAAGCAGCACTGGTCCTGCTCCTGCTGAGTCCAGCTGCTTGCTGATGTCAGTGGTCTTCATGCACCCTCCCTACCGCTCTGGGTGGCCCACGGACCAAGTTGGAGCTGTTCGGCTCTTTCTGTTTTGTCTTTTACATGTTTCTTTTTTTGTTACATATCATACTCTCAGGTGACTTTCTGGAAGTCAGTCTGTGAGAACAGGCCCTTCATCCACTTTGGCTCTTCTGGAAAAGCTCTCTTGCAGCGAGAAAGGCAGTCACCATGTGTGAGAGGATTGGGGAGCTGTTGGTGATAAAGGGAGGGGTGAGGGTTCCAGGAGCCGCGAACTAGCCTGGTCCCTCCTTTCGGCATGACCGTGCTGCGGGCAAAGCGGGCGGCGTTGCAGGGGACGCTCAGGGTCCCAGTGTAGACATCCCATTTGCTGCCCTGAGATCTGGCACATCGAAGGGCCTGCCACCCCCAGGCTTTTTCCTGTGTAGGTTTCAGAGGTGACTTAAAGGAATGTTTCTTCTCTAAGTATTTGTCACCTCTCCCTGCTGGATACCCTGCTAAGCTGCTCCCCCTCGCCCCGGAGGCGGCAGCCCTCTTCCACCCTTTTTCTTCTTCTTTTTTTTAAAATTTTAATTATTGATTTTAGAGAGAGAGGGAAGGAGAGAGAGGCAGAGAGAAAGAAACGTGGCTTAGTTCCACTTCCTTATGTATTCACTGGTCGATTCTTGTATGTGCCCTGACCTGGGATTGAACCCACAACCTTGGTGTATCGGGACTCACTGAGCTAACCGGCCGGGGCCTTCTTCAGCCCTTTTTCCAACTCGGAGAGGGAGGAAGAGGAGTCTGCTGCCCCCGAGTTCTGCTCCTGCACTGCACCGTGGTTCCAGGGCAAGCTCTGCGGGATGGACCCAACATGGGTCCTTCCTCCCTTTTCTGTGGTGTTTCCCTTTCTCCCTCCCCTCTGCCTCCTACCTTCTTGACATCTCATAGTTCTTTGTCTTTTTCCTGGTCTTGTCCTGGTGTGCCCCCACGAGGAATGCCTTCTTTCTGTTGAGCTGATGGTTCTGCCGAGGTTCTCTAGCTGGTCCTGATAATGCCTCCAAGCTGGTGACAGCCAGTTGACCACCTGTCTTTTTGTGCTGCACTGGCAGTTGCATCAGGGCTTGGCACTGTCTGGACATTTCTCAGCCCCTCTCCCAGCCCCTGGCAACCATAGTCTGCTTTCTGTCTCTGGATTTGCCTGTGCTGGGCATTTCATGTAAAAGGAATCATGCGTGTCCTTTTGTGTCTGGTTTCTTTTACTTAGCATGATGTTTTCCAGGTTCATTCAGGTTGTAGTATGTGTCAGAACTTCATTCCTTCTTGTGGCTGAATAAATAATCCATTGTCATTGAATAAACCACATTTGTTTATTCATTGAATAGTGGATCTTAAAGTGTCCTGAGTTGTGGTCCCCTGCGAGAATCCAATAGATCTGTGAGACTTTCTTTCAGGAGAGCACTCCGGAACGGCGAGTGTGTGATGTTGGCAGAGTCCAAGGTTCAGAACCCTTGTTTTAGATTATTTATTGAAAGCCTTATTCTCCATTTGCTAATATATTTTTCTTTTCCTTTTCTGTTATAATCACACACAGCTGAATGTTAGGTCTTTGAAAAGGGGTCTCTGAGGAGGAACAGTTGTGAGGGTGGACAACAAATGATCTGGGTCTCTCTGCTCTGTGTGAGGATCTAAAAGGTACCTAGACTGCTGTAGCTGGGCTTCCAAATTATGATTAGATTTGGCTTCATAGACTACAAAAACTCAAAATAACAGTGCCTTAAGCATGTAAAAACTTATTTTATCATGTGAAGGATGCCTGCAGTAGGTGGTCCAGGGCAAGCATCAAGGACCCAGGTCCTCCTGTCTTTCTGCTCTGCCATCCTTAGTGCTTTGCTGTGACCAAGATGCCCCCAGGCAGCAGTTCTGAAGGAAAAATGAGCATAATTCTGCCTGAATCAGCCCTTTTAGAAGCCTTTCAGAAGTCTCCCACATACTTCTGCTCACTCCGAAGGCCAGGACTTATGCTGTGGCCATGTCTGGCTGCAGGGCAGGCTGGGACGTGCTGCCTTTCCCATATGTGTTGCTTCCCGAATATAACTGGGCCTATACCAGAGAACAGTGGAGAGAGGGTGTGAGCAGTCTTGAACGTTGGAGCCATGCTTCCTCTTTGGTCTGCTCCCAGGCCTGGGCCCTGTAGATCACTGGTCAGAGGAGACATGACACGTCCACTTCCATGGTTCCAGGGCTGTCCACCTCATACAGAGCTCAGGCTGATCCTGCATGTGTAGAGAGAAGTGGATGACAAATTTGGTGATGGTAACGTCCCAGCCCTGTGCCTCCTTCGGAGCTGAATGCTGGCCATCCCTTTTTCTCTTCCCGGGGACATTGATCTGCCTGTTCGGACTGACTTTCTACACCTGCCCCCTTTTTTCTGGTTGTAACTTTTTATTTTGAAAAGTACAAAAACTGCACTGTGTTCCCGTATACTCTGCCCAGTCTCTCCTGATGTTGATATTCTGCGGTTCCAAGGTGCAGTAAGCAAAACCGAGAAATCAGCAGTGTTGAATGTTCCTCTGGTGCTGTCCTTGTGCACACGAGCTGGCCAGCCATGAAACAGCTGTATTTTCCCCCTCCTAAAACCTTGTCACTTCCTGTCTTTCAGTGTTCTCTCGAGGGCTGAAGAAGTCGTCCCAGGAGTTGTACGGTCTGATCTGCTACGGCGAACTGCGCAAGAAGATTGGGGGCTGTGAGTATGAGCTCCCACGAGGAGCAGGGCCCGCTGTCCTGGCACTATTGGGTCTTTGATCCCAGTGGGTCTTCTGCTTTCCCTCCAGGTTTTGTCTTAAAACATTTTAATACTCAGAAACAGTGAAGAAGAATGTAATGACCATCGCATACCTGCACTTCAACTTCCCAGTCGGTGACCTTTGTAACACTTGTGTGTGCAGTCACCCTTCCTTCTCCCCCTCACATACTTGCTTTTTTTTCTGCTCAGCCATTTACTGTAAGTTGCAGACTTCCTAGCACACCCCTAAATCCGTCACCCTCTGTCACCTGAAAGCAAGGTCATTCTCCTACAGACCTACAACCCTATTATTACACCCAATACATTTCTCATTTATCAGACAGGGACCACAGTCTTACCTAACATCCTGCCCATGTTCAGATCTCCCAGCATGTCCCAGCATGCCAGCTTTCCCAGCACATCCCAGCATGCCAGCAGGGCTCCTGTTGACATTGCCCTGCTCATAGCTGTGTTGTCCCTTAAGTCTTTTGAACTAGAATAGCCCCCACTTTTTGGTCTTTGGTGACAGTGGTACTTTGAAGGGTTAGGGCCCCTCCCTTTGCATTGTTCCAATCTTCTCCTTGTGAGTAGATTCTCTTTAGATGTAGAGGGCGCTCTGGCCTTCCTGCCCAGGACCTTGCATCCCTACTTTGCCTCCCCACATGACCACAGACAAGAGGGTGCACCCTTGCCACTGCAGATGCCACTTGTCTGCCTGTTATACATCCATAGCCATCATCTTAACCAGTTACTTAACGTGTCACTGCTGAGTGGGCACGTGGCTGGGGGTGTGGAAGCAGCAGAAGGACTGGGGTGAAGGGCATTCACTGCTTACTCTGTACATCTGGCCTATGTTGGGTAACCTCCGCTCTCCTGAAATAGGCAAGAATGTATAAGAGGCTCTGAATGGAACAAGGGTCTTGGTCCCTACTCTGTCCTCTGCAGTCTGAGGACTTGTTTGTAAATCCCCCCCAGCTCCTGCTTTGAAGGGACTCTAGGGCCCCACCTCCCTTGAATCTCTACTTTCTCTTCTGCTTCCTTCTCTCTGTCCTAGACCTAAATTGTTTGTGGTCATGGCAGTGTGTTGGTACCACCTTCTTTGTCAGTGATGCCATGGCCCCTCCTCCATCCCTGCCATATCTGAGCCTCTCAGCCAGTTTCTGCTTTCACAAGAATCTTTGGCCTCATCCTCTTGTTGGCTCTGTGACCTTGGGTAGCTTCCTGCCACCCCTGGGGTATCACCTGGCCCCCTGACCCAAGGGGCCTCCGCATTTGGACTTTAGCTCATCTCCCTGCTGGGCACCCCTCCAGCTCAGCTGCTCCCGTCCTGATGGTAATGCCTAGTCATCCCTCTCAGCCCAGCTACACACCACACTTGCATATGTTCACACGTGTGTACACACACACACACACACACACACATCCTCCCTCTGAGCCCCCACACACTGATCCATGTGCTGGGACACTATTGTGTCATTTCATGAATCTTTTTGGAGAAGGACATGCTTGCACATGCAGCCTTCTGCGGAGTGCCCTGTACATGGCAGCCTCTCACATCTGCTCAGTGTTAACTCTTTCTGGCTGTTCAGAAAATGAGTGCTCAGGAGGTCAGAGCATGCTTTTTATTAATGCCTTTTTCTGACAGATATTCAGGCCTATGCAAATCCTGAAATAGTAGACTTTGAGTCCCAGATGTATTCCAGGGCCTTTGACACACATTACCTTGTATCAAACATTGTAACAGCTATGTGAGATGGCATTGTTCCTGTCTGAAAAAAGGGGGTGAGGACATTCATTCTATTTTGATGAAAAACGAATGATTTTAAGTATCATTGGCTATTAAATGACAAGATCCCATGCTGCCCCCAGGCCTGATTTTTACACTCCGTGCTTATTTCATCTGCCACAGCACCAGTGTTGGGACAGGGTAAAGGGGGGACACCATGGCTGCCTGTATACTCAGCGGTTTGTTCAGAGTGCTTTTTTTTTGAAGGGTAGTTTTTTGGACAGTGCCCTGTTTGGTGACTCAAACCCTGAAGTTGAGGTTGCGCCACCTACCTGGCCTTCTGTCTGTCTGTCTGATGTTGCCAGACACAGGATAATGGGCCTTTTCCTCCTCTTTGCATATGAACTCCTACCTACCCTTTGATCTTAGCTTGAATGTTTACAAACCTCCACAACAGGCTGGGCCACCATGTCTCCCACACTCAGCACACCAGACCTTCCCTTCATGCAGCATCACAACTGCCCTTACACTCATGTGTGCTTGTTTGACTTATGCCCATCTGACGGCAGGTCTGCGTGTGACCTCTTATTTAATGAGCAAGTCTATAAGTTCATCCTCTCTGGTGCTGTCCCTTTCTTGAAGATCTATTTCCATTTGGTACTGTTTTTCTTCAGCCTACAGAACTTCCTTTAGTCTTCCTTGTATAGTGTTGACCATGAATTCTTGTAGTTATTTCTATATCTGAAAAGTCTTTAATCTTTACGCTTAAGGTACTTTCGCTGGATGTAGAATTCTGATTGACAGGTTTTTTTTCCTTTCATCGCTTTAAAGATGTTCCACCATCTCTGGCCTCCACTGTTTCTGGTGAGAGGTCACATCTGTGTCTTTGTTTCTCTGGACGGATGTGCCTTTTTTCCTCTGGCTGCTTTTAAGATTTTGTCCTTGTTTTTGATTTTCAGTCTGGATGTGTGTTTGTGGCTTGTTGTTTCCCTCCCCCAAAATATATGGAAAAATTCAGACTTCTACAGTGAGCACTCAGACGCCTATCACCTAGATTCCTTCATTACCTGGTTACTACTAGACTTGCTTTCTCACATATCTGAGGACAGTGCTATGTACCAGTAGGGCAAAGGAAATGCACAGTGTCTGGGCTGGTCATCCAGCAGACCCTGGGAACCGAGGGCTCAAAGCTAAGGCAGGCCCACAAGTAACACGAGCCCAGCAAGAGAAGTGCACACAGGGCACAGTGGGTTACCCTGAGGAAGGAGTCTCTGAACTAGGCGGTTGGGGACGAGTGGAGGTTCAGGGTAACCTGGGGTCTGAGAGAGTTTTTGGGAGGAGTGAGTGTCTGCAGAGGCAGATAGTGGTTCCACTGAGAAAGTCTGGGTGGGTGGAGAGGACATGCAGGTGGGGACAGCAGCCTCAACACAAGTGATACCCAGTTTTGACTTTGAGGGAGGGGCTGCAGCTAACAGGTTTTCTTTGGAAGACCTTAGACATTCTGTAAAGCGTTTGGATTCTACAAGGAATATAATTAATTATATGGGAATGTTTACCAGTCCTCCTAACTGCTTCAAGGTCATGTCTATTTTTTTTTCTCTTTATAGGTATGGATGACAAGAATGCCACCAAGTTGAATGAGCTCATTCAGGTTGGGTAAGTACAGATTGTATTGTGAGACACCAGCTGCTCCTGTTGGGCGTTCGCCTTGTTCTCTGAAATATAGAACTAGAAATAGTCACCTGTCCCTCCCACTCACCCCACTAGAGCTTCCGTGATTTCACCTGGACCGCTCTGTCTGTTCCTTGTCTTGGGTGAACTCCCCCGCTACCCAAGACCCCTGCTCGTCATAGTTCAGCTGTCCTGTAGGTCGAGCTGTCTCCTGGAACAGTCTTCACTGGCCTCTGCTACGTCCACAGGACATTGCCTTCCTGTACCTCTGGTTCTTATCTCTCCCTGTTCTTGTCTCCCCCAGCCTAGGATTGGATGGCCTGGAAGCTCCGTTTCTCAGGCGTGAGCTCCTGCTAGGTGTGGCTGACTGTGTGTGCTTCTGCTCTGGCTCCAGCCCAGCATCTGCCCTTATAGATGCTCATGTTGTATTCTCAGGCTTTATTTCTGTGATCCTCCACCCTTTTGCAGCCAGTCTTGATAGTAATTAGGACATATGTATCACCACCATGCAAAAGAGCAGCGACTCACTCCAACTGCCAGGAGTGTGGGTAGTCTTAACTACTGGTGGCCTTGGGCAAAGGGAGCCTCCTGGAGGTGTGTGGGGTATGATCAGGCGAGTAGGAAGAGGCCACCGGTGGTGGCCTTGTGGGTCATTTGTCACTCCCACACCCCATTTGCCTGTTGCAGCTTCAGCATCCCGTCTTCCTTCCCACCCTTATACCTGCCCTGCATTTGTCATATGGAAGCTGTGTTTACTCCTAGGTCTGGGATGTTTGAGTGGTGGTGTATCTGAGGAACCTCGTTAAGTAGGGGAAAGATCCTTGGCTGCGATTGTTTCTGATGTTACTGTCTCAGCAGCAGGTGAAAGAGGTACCCCCTGAGGGAGCACACTTCCCTGTGATGAGAGCTTTTGGGGCAAATCTCACTTCACCTTTTATTTCAGTTCCCCCAGATTTGTTGGGTGAGTGAGTATTGCTGGCTCTATGCCTGGGTGTTTAGGGTTAGTCTGATGGAAAAGCAGTGAGTTTGCTTGGCTTTGTCTTAGATGGAGTTTTTTTGTAGTTAGCACAGAGAGGAGAGTGTCTTATAGGAGAGTGAGAGACACTTACTGATCGGGGGTGAAAGGAAGGCATGCTTTGATAAGCTTGAAAATGGCCAGAGAGTCAGTTTTAGGGGCTGCTGGAGATTGGGGAGCACCAAAGCTCTGACTTGCAAGTCTGAAGGTACCAGTAAACCCAGGAGCAGAGCTGCTACTTCTCAGCCTCAGCAAGGAGCTGCCTCAGTGAGGCCCCAGGTGAGAGGATGGGAAGGATGGTTCTGGACCAGTAGGGATTCAGGAGTGTCTACGTCATGTATGTGCTTTGACTCCTTACTTAGTAATACAGTATTGGCTTACAGCTTTTATAATACATTGATTTCCATGAGTCTGTACTGATAGAATCATCGATTGAATAAATAAATAGATGCAAATCTCCCATGCAGAATTCCACATAATTTATGTAGCTACTCCTTCCTCAAGCTGGGGAGCTTAGCTCCCTTCCCTTAAGTGTGAGCTGTTCATTGTGACTTCTTTCTAAAGAGGACAGTATAGGAGAGTGGGGAGGAGCATAGAGTGTAGACACCTGACAGGTACAACCTCAGCCACATCAAGATCTACCCCAACTGTGGTAAACCAGGTTGAAGGCATGGAGAGACATGGCACTATACAGATGTCTGCTCTCCCTAAATTAATCTACAAGTACATGCAGTTGCAATCAGAATCACAATGCAGTTTCTTTGAATATTAAATAGAAATATGACAAACCTGCAGGAAAGCGTATAGAACCTAAGTGCATAGTTCCTGAGTTTTCACAAAGTGGTCCCACCCAGGTTAAGAAACAGTAAATGTTACACTACCAGCCTTCCAAAAACCCTCCCTTGTGCCAATCCCACTCCACTTGGCTCAAAGTAAGAAGAAAGGCAAATTAAAATGATATCACGTTTCATGACTGGATGGAGAGGTCTCAGCATTGTTGCTGATTGTGTTTCCAAACAGCAGTAACAGACTGTGAGTTTGTAACATGTCCCGCTCATAAGTATGTAAACCCTCCAGCCCAGCAGTCCCACTTATAGGACTTAATTAGATCAGGACAAGCAGTTCTTCTGAGGATGAACATCACAACAGTGCTCATGCTAGCAAAGGGGTGTCGAAGAGTGAAGAGCTGCTTTGGCTTCAGGCAGGATTGTTTTCGGAAGCGAGGCTGAGCAGGTACTCATGTGGCTACGTGGCCCTAGCCAGGCATTTGGACACATAAACCCCCACCTTATACCAGGGTTCTCTTGGAGTGGTGGGTACACTTTCTACTTCATACATTTTTTTGTTAATTTGAACATATAACAAGAATGTACTTTGATCAGAAAAGAAAAATTCCATATTGGGGAAAGATGTTCTTTTTATGTAGTTTTAAACTATGATCAAGTTTTCGTTATGGGGATATATTTATAAAAATACATTTATCTGTATTTCTGGCAACAAAAATGTAACACATGTGGCTTAAGCCTTGGCTGAGCCCTGTTGTGAGTGGATGCTGTTGCTGCCCAGTGGCAAAACCCTCTAGGGACCTTTGGAGCATTGTGGTGTGAGGGGAACCTGTCCCTCAGTGGGGGCTGGAGACCACAGAGGTCAAAGACCAACAGGGTTGCTCTGGCAGAGCCCAGAGAGGCCCTGGACTGGAAGACTGTCTATCATAGGGCCTGGCACCCTCTGCTTCTCTCCTGCTTCTCCCCCTAGGCCCCATGCCAGTGTCTGATGTTGAAGGCTCAGGAGTGCTGCTGAGGGACAGGGCTGTCCTTCTGACTGCTGCTGGCTCTCCCCTGGGACACAGCAAAGTCTGGATGTCACGTGTCCTTCATGTGTGACTTGTCAGCACAGTGCTCCTTCCTTTGCTGTTGGTGCTTGCCAATCAGGATCCTCACCAGCTGTAGCTCAGGAAGGGTCTCCACTCCAGCCTGGTATGTCCAGCCAGGCCCCAAGCCTTGTTCAGTCTGAGTCCCAGGGACCCTCTCACAGTCCTGGGTAGAGAAGCACATTGACTCTAAATGCTGCCGGCTGCTTTCTCCACTGTGACAGTGTAGCATCATACCAAATCCTTCGGTATCTAAGAAGCAAGACAGCTGTTATTTTATCTTATTTCATTATTATTATTTTTGTTATTCTCACCAAGGACATTTTTTCCATTGATTTTTTTAGAGAGAGTGGAAAAGCGGGGGAGAGACAAACATCGATGTGAGAGAGACACATTGATTGGTTGCCTCCCGCACTTGCCCCGACCGGGTCCGGGGATCAAGCCTGCAGCCGAGGTATGTACCCTTGACCAGATCAAACCTGAGACCCTTTAGTCTGCAGATTGGCACTCTAACCACTGAACCAGACTGGCTAGGGCAAGACAGCTGCTTTTTAAATTTTTCATAAAATTTTGTTGTGAAAAAGTTTAAATATCAGAGAAGTTGATAGAATAGCACAGCAGCCACCTGCATACCCTTCACCTGAATTTACCAGTAGAAGTGAAGAGAATTTACATGCTCTCTTTTGTAGAGACTAGTGTCAAGCTAGCTTGCATGGCCCTCATATAGTACATAAGTGAAAAAGACAGAGAGGTGGCTAAGGAAGCAGAGATCCACTCAGGCTGTGCCAACAGAGCGTTTGCTCACTTCAACAGGATTTCAGCCACTGGTGGGCGAATGCAGTGCTGCCTCTGGGATAGAGTGTGCGAGCCAGCTGTGAGGAACCTATTACGGGTGCTTCCATCTCTTACTCGGGGGCTTCACCTGCTCACTTGGCTGCTCTGGGCTCAGGTGCCCTATCTGTTACGTTGTCATCTCTTGGACAGGTGCCAAGACACCTGAGAAAAAGTTTGAAACAGCATGAAGTGCTGTCCCAGGTCCGTGAAAAGAATTCTGTTTGTAGCCATGAAGAGACCTGAGGCAGAAAGCCTACTACATGGCATGTTCATTGATAAGTTCTAGAAGGATCTGAGTACCCACATATGCCAGGCACAAAAATGGGTGTTGTATATGTAGTGGTGTTAGAGCTGGGGCAGGGCAGCTAATGAAGTTCATTGAATAGAAATCATCTTCCTGGGGTGTGTGTGTATGTTGGGTGGTGTCTATGGACAGGGATGGGCAAGGGTGAGGAGTGGAGCTGGGTGAGAGGGTCGGGCCAGGCCCCTCTGTAGACCAAGTAGGAATCTGGGGATCCTGGTGGTCTTGGCAAGAGTCTCAGGGTAGCAGAACCCCTCAATCTGGATGAAAGCATCTCTCTAATTCTGTGTAGGAACAAGGCTGGGTGTACAGCATCCATTTTTAAATATAAAATATTTTAAGTTATATACTTTTTGCTGAAGAACTGCAGAACTTATCTACAGATCTATAAGTTTTTTTTAAAACAGCACACTTTTATTTTTAGAGCCATTATAGGTTTACAGGAAAATTTAGTAGTAAGTACAGAGGTTTCCTGTCTACCTCCTTCCTCAGCACATGTTCTCCTCATTATAAGTATCTCGTATTAAATGATATATTTGTTAGAATTGATAAACCAGTATTGACGCATTATTATTAGCTAAAGTCTGTCAACTGATGGTTGTTAGCAACATTCAGTGCCAACAGGAATCCCCAGTTTGGGGTGTGGTAAAGAAGGAAACTGTATTCAGTGTGAAACAGCTCAGTTTCAATACAGCATGGCCAGCCCCTCTCCAGCTAGCTCTGCTGTGCTCCGTGATGGTGTGCTCTGCTCCCTTCTTGCCAGCCTGCTTTGCACTGCACTGGTCTGCTCTGCTGTGCTTTGGTCTGCTCTGTTCTGTGCCAGTCAGCTCTGGCCTGGGCTGCTCTGCTCTGCAAGACATCTTTGGTATTTCAGCTCAGCCAGGGAAACACAGTCTTCGGTCTTCAGGGAAAAGAGAAAGTGTATTCTCAGAGCCAGAAGGGAGCTGGCTTATATGGACAGAAGTCCCCTCCCCTGGTCCCTGATTGATCTCTCCTGCAAAAGAGGACTCCAAATCCTTGCAGTCTGATTGGTTCAAAAGGCATTGTCCTGATTGGTCAGAATAGAGCTGTTCTGGTTGGTTGGAGACGCACAGCTCCAGTTGAATGGGGAAAGCCTCAGTCCTATTGGTTGAAATGGGATTCCAGGAACTTTTTCTTAATAAGGGCTGGCTCTGAGAGCAGAAACACAGTGTAGGCAGGCAGTTCAGTGCAGGCTTCTCCCTGAAGTGCAGATTGCATGAGGCTCCTGTGTAGAAATGGCTGCTAGGCTGTTTTCTTTTTTTTTTTAATCCTTATCCAAGGGTATGTTTTTCATTGATTCCAGAGAGAGAGGGAGAGAGAAACATCGATCAGTTGCCTCATGCATGCATCCCAACTGGTGATTGAACCTGCAACCTGGGTATATGCCATGACCCTTCGGTAAACAGGATGACTCTAACCACTGACCCACACCAGCCAGGGCTAGGCTCTGTTTTCTTACAATTTGAGCCCAGTTAGCCACCAGGAGCCCTTTTTAGTAGGTACCGTCTTTCTCAGGGTTCACAAGTTCATGGTTTTAATTACAGTTCACGCTTGGTGGTGTATATTCTATGGGTTTTGACAAATGCACAATGTCCTGTATCCACTGTTATAAGATCCTTGAGTTTCCTTCCCTAGAAACCCCCTGTGCGCTACCACTTTATCCCCTTCTTCCCTGCGGCCTGGCAAGCTCTGATTTTGTACTGTATTCATAGTTGCCTTGTCCAAGAAAGTCTTAGAACTGGAATCATACAGCAGGTAGCCTTTTCAGACCAGCTTCTTTTACTTACAGCTCTGAGTTTTCACAAATGCGTAGAGTCGTGTACCTCCTGATGCCCACCCCAGCAACCACTGAGCTATTCTGTTCCCTCTAGTTCTGCCTTTCCCAAAATGTCACCTAAATAGGACAGTACGGTACGTGGCCTTCAGAGGTTGACTATTCCACTCTGCAGTATACACTTTGACATCCATCCATTGGCTGCATGGCTCCGTTCATGCCTTTTCCTGCAGAGTTGTGTCTCCGGTGTGGCTGCTCTGTGGTCTGTTTATCCATCTGCCAGAGGGACGGCTGTTTATCGAGAATAAGCAACTTTAACATCCCCCTCCTGGGCACATTCAGGGGAGGAGGAGGAGAGTGTGTGCCTAACTCTATATGGAACTGCCAGACTGCCAGAACTTTCCAGCCCGGCCGGCGTGGCTCAGTGGTTGAGCATCGACCTATGAACCAGGAGGTCACTGTTCGATTCCTGGTCAGGGCACATACCAGTGGGGGTTGTGCAAGAGGCAGCCGGTCATTGAGTCTCTCTAATCATTGATGTTCCTATCTCTCTCTCCCTTCCTCTCTGAAATCAATCAAAACATATTAAAAAGAGAGAGAACTTTGCAGGGAGAGTTCCAGTTGCACCCCACACTCCGTGTTCTTTTGAACCATCCTGCAGGTGTGAAGTGGTGGTATGTTGTGGCTTTCATTAGCATTTCCCCAATGAGTAATGCTGTTGAGCATCTTTCTTGTGCTTCTTTACCATTTGTATATATATTCTTTGGTGAAGTATTTGTTCAAATCTTGTGTCTGTTTTCTTATGTTTGAGTTTAGAATGTGCCTTGTATATTCTAGTCAGAAGTCTTTTGTCAGGTGGCTTATAAATAATTCTCTCCCAGTCTGTGACTTGTCTTGTCATTGTCTTTACTAGTGTCTCTCAAAAGGCAAAGTGTTTAGTTTTGATAAAGTCCAATTTGCCATCTTTTTCTTTCGTGGACTAAAGTGCTGTATCTAAGAACCCTTTGCCTAATAAGGTCACAAAGACGTTCACCTGTTGCCTTCTAAATGATTTATAGTTTGACGTTTAAATCCATGATCTACTTTGGATTAATTTTTGTATATGATGTGAAGTTTATACCTTGGTTCATTGTTTTGGCCTCTGGGTATCCAGTTGTCTCAGCCTCATCTGTGGAAAGGGGCATCCTTCCTCTAGCCACTTTTGCGTCATCTAAGTTCAGTTAACTGTACTATGTGGGTCTCTTTCCGGACTTTTAATTCTATTCTATTAATTTGTGTCCATTCTTTCACCAATAAACTTCAGTTTTTAAGTACAAAGCAAAAAGCTTGTAAAGGTGAAACAAATGAGGGGAAATTTATACGGTGCCTTGATAAGACCAAAAAGCAATCTGATGAGAGAGAAACATTGTGTTTAACCAACTTCCTGTCTGTGCTTCTCAGGCAGGCCTTTTTCGGTTAACTGTGAATCTCCTTTTGTTATAAAATTATAGAGTGAGATAAAGGAGTAAATGAATTGAGAAAATCTCCAAAATTAAATCTTATTATATATTGGTCACAGACACAGCAGCATGCTTATTGGATTTATCAAATAACTTTACAGAGAAGAAGATAAATCTCTCAGAAAAGCCAGACTCCCGTGCACTTGGAGGAATTACTCTGTTGCCTTTGTTGTCAAAGTAATGCTCAAATGCAGGGGTCAGATAGAATCCTCTGTGTTGTTTGTTACATCCCATCAGAGGTCAGGCTGGCCTGGCCTGTTTGTAGTCTCGCCAGTCTTTCAGCCATGGGGCTGGTGTGTGAAGGTGGGGAGTACCGACCACTCCCAGGACTGAGGCCCGGCCTCAGAGGCCTTTTCCGTGTGAACTTGAACATGGCTTTACCTTGCACAGGTTCCAGCCTCAGGCTACTCACAGAACTTCCATTTGCAAAAAAACGAAAGGGATTGTATTCTCAGAATGGTTATCTAGTCATAAAAGGGGGGCTGCTTGATTTCACTTTTTAAAAAAAGGAAGTCACAAAATAGCAGTTTAACGGAAAATGTGATTATCACAAACACAGGTGCCACATGATAGTTCCACCTGCTCTTTAAGTCTTGCCTGCTACTGGTTTATTTTGTTTGGAGACAGATGCAACAAAAAGTGATGATGGGCAGAAAAGTCCACCTGTCCCAGAGCCCTTTATTGGGGGAGGCTGTTTAAGAACTGATGTGGAGCTTAATTACTGCTCTTTTAAAACTCTCCTCCCTCCTCTGCAACCCTTTTCCAGCATCATTCACATTCACACTGCCGCTGTAGTACCTTGTGGCCCTTGTCTCCCTGAGTTCAGGTGGCTAAGACTCAAACATTTGGTCTCAGTGGAGCGTGGTGGTTCTTCATGCGGACTCTCGCTCTCCTCCTGACAGAATAGGGGGAGCTGGCTTCTTAGGGCCGCAGCTGGGAGTTGGCCAATTTGAAAAGTTGGTTAAAACACAGTCATAAAAACAATATACGTGGACCTTGAACCTTTTTAAAAACATAAACCTACATTTGTTTACCAACCACAGGGTGCCTGGCCAAGGCCTTTTCTTTGACTGGGGCCCATCCTCAGAGTTCTGGGTTGTTTTTATCTTAGAAGCTCTAGCCAAGATGTATCATTTGCAATTAACCATTTTCCTTCCTTCTTCCCTCCCTCCTCACATGAGAATGTTTTTTCCATTGCTTTTCAGAGAGAGTGGAAGGGGGAGAGAGAAAGAGAGAGAGAAGCATCGATGTAAGAGAAACACATCCACTGGTTGCCTCCCACATGCGCCCCAACTGGGGGTGCGGATCCGCAACCCAGGTACGTGCCCTTGACTGTGGGCCAAAACTCTGACCACTGAGCACACCGGCCAGGGCTGATTAACCATTTTCAAGTGGAACAAGAACATAGGGACCCACAGTAGCAGGACTGCAGAGTGCTTCCAGGTGACCCTCAGTCTCATAGTTGTCCTGCCCACACTTAACATGACTGCCATTTTTTTAAAAACAGTCTATCCTTATTGAGTATTTCCAAAGCACTCTAAACGTGTATTTTAGAAGGAACTATTTTTGTGGCTTTTGTAGTCACTTACAGTATTTCTTTAATTCTAACATATGAACTGCCACAGCAGCGTTCAGGGTCACCAACAGCTGTGACAGACAGACTTGAGGCATGCCCCGCTGACTCAGCCTACCTGTAGGTCAGTTGAGGGAGAACAAATACATGATGCCCGTGTCTGCTGGCCATGAGTGCCCCGAATCCCCAGGTCCTGAGAGAGTGGTTTACGGAGGAGCTGGGGGACATTGCTGACTTGGAGATGTGGTCTCAGAGCTGGGTTGAGGTCACATAGAGATGGGTTGAAACCTACCATCAAAGGACCCTGAGGAGGAGGAGGAGAGAAGGGTGCATTACCTGGTGCCTGAGTGGGGCTCCATTGTCATGGGCTTCCCAGTGGGTAGGACAATGGCTGATGCTACACCCGTCACCAAGCAGGAGACAGGGCAAGTTTCCTGTGAATAGCAGGCATCCCCTTTGCCGTGTGAGGTGTGATTGGGAAAGTATTGGGACATCCAGAGTCATGGGCCTGAGCAGGAGCTCTGAAGGCCAGGATGGGTGCCCAGCCAGGGCCCTCGCCTGCTCTGAGCTCCATGTGTATTGACATGCTGGCCCTCCCCTCCCTGCTCTGGGCAGGGAACTATTATTCATTTAGAGGTCTCAGCATTTCTTCAAAATTTTTTCCCAGGGCCACCACAGTACGTTACAAAGGAAGAAACCTGCGCATCAAAGCTCCCATGTGCCGAGCCCTGAAGAAGCTCTGTGACCCAGATGGTATGTAGAAGGTGGGCTGGGGTGGGGTCAAGGAGGTGTTCTGTTCTGCTCCATTTAGCAATGTACAGACTGAGCTCTGTGTCCAAGCCTTCCCAATCCCATGGGCAACTCTTGGATCCAAAGCAGTGTGTCCACTCACAGCATTCAGATGGAGTGTTAGCAGTGTCACGAGTGAATCCTGTGGCCTCGAGTAGCCCAGTCATCACTCTGGCTTTGTGGGTACTCTAGTAGCTATATTGGCACTTTCCTAGGCACAAGTCCTCGCGGGTTTCTCAGCCAACACTGCTTCCCCCCTCCCAGGCAGTTTGCCCACAGCTCCTTGAGTTGTCTTGCCAAGGGGTTCTCCTTCTGCATAGCAGTCTATCTGCCAGGCTCTCACAGCCCCTTCTTCTTGCAGGCTTGAGTGACGAAGAGGACCAGAAGCCAGTGCGTCTGCCCTTAAGAGTCCCTGTAGAGCTACAGCCAAGGAACAATCATGCCTGGGCCCGCGTACAGAGCCTCTCCCAGAACCCCAGGCTCAGGTAACTGCCTTTGGCTTTCCGCAGGGAGCCAGCTGCGAGGGATATGGACACAGGGTGGTGTTTGGGCTCCTTCATGGACCCCTGGGTGAGCACATTTTACCCAGTGCTCCAAAATTACATGGGGGTAGGGTGTGGGGTTAGTGCACTGTTATTGGGGGCCTGGAGACATGAGTCTCGCAGGTTAATCTCTGTAGCGTCTTTCTCTCATCTTTCCCCTATAAGCCCCTTTCTATTTCTCTCTTACTGTTTTCCTAAAGATTTGTGTCTGATTTATGGACAGAGCACCACTGTGGATACAGACAATTTTCTAGTCATACTTTTTTTTTTAGATTGAGGTCAAAGTCACATAACATAGAATTAACCATTAGCCATTTTAAGGTTTCCAGTTCAGGACATTTGAGTACCTTCACAGTGCTGTACAACTACCACTTCTATTTAGTTCCAGAACATTTTTGTCACTCCAAAAGGAAACTTCACACCCACTAAATAGTTGTTTCTCATCGCCTGCCCCTGGCCCCCAGCCCCCAGCCTCCAGCAAGCACAGATGTACCTTCTGTCTCTATAGATTTGGCTGTTCTGGATGTTATGCATAATAGAATCTCATACTATGGTCCTTCCTCCTTGACCTCTCTCACTGAGCATTATGTTTCTGAAGCTCATCCACTTTATAGTGTGTCCGTGCTTCATTCTTCCCATATGTATTTTTATTTTCTTGAGATTAAGGCTGGCCAGACCTCCCCTTCTTGAACCCAAAAGGCACTTAATGGAATAGGTTGGTGAGTTGTGCCAAGGTCCATATTCTGTGTGAGAGCTTGCACTGTAAAGCATACACAGGTCTCTGCTTTGTCTTTCAGTTTCGTGTGAGTCTGCAGTTATCTTAATTTAAAAGGTTAATTTTTAAGAAAAGGAGTCAGCAGCCCTGCTTGGACATCGTGGCTCTGACCCCTCCTTAGTGTCCTCCCTAGATGCCTTTATTCTCTATGGCATTGTTTTGCTGCCAGCAGCCTCTGGGGCTCTTTAGAAGGATTCATCCCTGTGGTAAGAGCTTTCCTCTTCCCATCTATTGTTTCCTGTAGGATGATTGTGGAGCTCCATCGGAAGGTCTCCAGCCTCATCGAATTCTTGAAGCAGAAGTGGGAGCTCCATGAAGTGCGAATTGTATCTTTTTCCTACTAAAGCACACCCCCCTCCCCCCCGGCCCTACCACCATCAAATTCCGTAGCACCTGCTGCCTCCAAATGGTGTCCGTCCTGCCTCTCACTCCCAGGATTTCACAGGGGCCCATGTGGCATAGCAGCTATGCCATATGATGGCGGAGAGCCAGAACTAAAACCCACAGCCCCTTGTCCTCTGGGTTTTGGGTGTAAGCCCCGTTTCAGACCTTGCAGTGTTATAACTCTGTCACAGCAGCCCTCCATGTGGTGAGTAGCCACCATCTGGCCTGTGGGGTGTGGCACAAGCATCCCTGCGAGCAGGTTCGTTGAAATGACTGAGGATAGTTCCAGGCATCTCCTCCTCGGCCAACTTGCAGCTCTGCCCAGTCTCCAGCCAGGACAGTGTGTACTGGGAGTAAAGTCCCTAAAGAAGGAAATGCCTGAGTCATGCTTTCCCCGAGGCCCTGTACTGCCCAGGGCCAGTTGCTGCTGCAGGTGGTTCCTTGACTGTACACTCAGCGAAAGACGCTCTCGGAGCGGCAGCTGCAGGAGTCGTTTGTGGAGCCATCACAGGAGAAAGTGGTGCTGCACCTGTTCCCGGGGGAGAACTGTACGCTGACCCCGCTTCCGGGAGTGGCCCGTGTGGTGCACTCTAAGGCCTTCTGCACGGTGCACTGGCAGGAGGGTGGCCGGTGCAAACAGAGCTCCAAGGATGCTCACACGCTGCCTCCAGCTCAGATCCTAGGCATCCAGAGTGGGCAGGGTACAGCCAGAGGCCAGGTGAAGTGCCCAAGGGGCAGCACCGAAGGCAAGGGTGGGGGGCGGCCTCCTCCGTCCATGGACGCTTCTCAGAGCTCTGGAGAGAGTTCCCCGGAAAGTGCCCTTGGGGAGGGGGCTGCCCCAAACCTCAGCGGCCCGAACGTTCCCGACAGGCTTCCCCCTGGGCTCCAGGACACTGGGGTACGGCTTGAGAAGACCCCTTTGGCGGTTCCTGTAGAGGGTGGGGATGGCCCAGCCCAAGAGCCTGGAGCCACTACCTGTGCCTGTGGCCAGCTCCCAGAGCTAGAGGACGATCTCTCTCTCCTGGACCCCTTTCCCCGCTATATGAAGTCCTGCCAGGACCTCATCATCCCTGAGCCGTGCCACTGTGCAGACTCTCGGCCCTCGGCGTGTCTCTCCCCAGAGACTCACGCCCCCAGCAGCGCAGAGGTGGCCAACCTTGCCCGTACCAGGGCACCGTCCCCCATCCGCAGCCTACTTGGCCTGGAGCCTCAGTCCAGCCCAGGGCTCCAGCCAGATGTTTGCACTAAAGACTCGGCAGATGCTTCTGTGGAAGAGCCCCAGGAGAAGGTGAGCCCCTCGGACCCTCTGCCACCTCAGGGACAGCCTTCTGCCAAGCCCCCGAAAGATGTCCCTGCCAGCCGGCTGGCCCAGCAGCTCCGAGAAGAGGGCTGGAACCTGCAGACCTCTGAGAGCCTGACACTGGCCGAAGTCTACCTCATGATGGGAAAGCCGAGCAAGCTGCAGCTGGAGTATGACTGGCTGGCTGTGCTGGGGCCGGAGGGCCAGGCCCCCAGTGGCTCCCCGCCTGCCGCCTTCCACAAGCAGCGCCTTCTCAGCTGCCTCCTGAAGCTCATCTCCACTGAGGTCAACCCCAGACTGGTGAGTGAGGGTCGGGCATGGCCCTGATGGCACCCGAAGGGCAATCAGGCCTGGCCCCATAACAGGTGGCCAGGAGTCCTGCAGGCTTCTTAGAGAAGGGCAGGAGGCAGGGACCCCAGTAACCAGGAAGGCAGAGGTTCTCACAGACCATGTTTTGTTCTATCGAGCAGGGCCATGCTGAGCACTGGTCAGGGCTTTGGTTCCCTGCCAGGCAAGGGCCCTGTCCTTCCTGGCTCACACAGGGCTCAAAAGAGGACAGTGACCAACAGGCCATGCTTATTAGGCCTTGCTAGGCCCCAGCAGTTCTGCTGAGCCCTGAGCGTGCCAGCCCAAGGGGACAGTGTACAGAGGTGAGATGGCAGGCTTGGCCAGGAGCTGAGCCAGATTGGGATTTCTCTAAGTGTCAGCAGTGCGGCGGGTTTCTGCAGAGAAATGACAAGGTCAAGTTTGCACTTTAGAATGCCTGTCCTGGGAGGACAGTGGTGGCATAGCCTCGATGGAGGGAGTGGAACTGGGAGGGGCCAAATGGGATGCTGGGGCTGAGAGCTGCACCATGTGGTGCTTGGCTGTGTGGGGCTGTGCCAGGAAGCCTCCACAGGCAGACCTCCATGGGTAGCTGTGCAGAGGATGGCTAGTTGAAGTGGTGTGGGTTCCTCAGCAGGCTCCGGGTGTGTGGGTGGTCCCTGAGTCCAGGGAGTGGCTGTGATTGCCCAGGGAGGAGGAGGTCATGCCAGGCAGCCATAGCTTGTGACCCCCACCAGGGGAGGATGATAAGCGGAGCCGCAAACGGGGCAGAGAGTTTTGCTGATGGAAAAGTCTCGTAGGCTCTCCTGGACACAAGCAGAGTCCTAAGGCAGGTTGTTCCTGAAGTAGCGGTGTGTGCTTAGTGTAAAACACTTTCAAGTTTGTCTTTTGGAGGGGTTAGGATAGGAGACTGGGGGGGGGGG